TGGAGGGCTACAGTCCATAGGGTCACAAAGAGTCAGACATGACTGAGCACACACAGATGACACCCAAGTATCCAATGCTCTTCATGCTTATACCTGGGGAAGGATCCTATTCTGTGCAACTGAATGTTGATGACTAATACTGTAAACCGTGTAGGAAGAGTAGCGCCCACTGACACTAGGATCTTAAATATAACTGGAAACTAGAATTAGGAAAATTAGAATAGAAAACTATAACTGGTGTTCATCCTTCTACAGTCTGAAGCAGAAGGAGAAGAGATTGAGAAGAGGTGTCAAGAATACATGGAACTATACAAAAAAGGTCTTAATGACCCATATAATCACGACAGTGTGGTCACTCACCTAGAGCCTGATATACTGGAGTCTGAAGTCAAATAGGTTTTACCAAGTGTTATTACAAACAAGGCTAGTATCACAAAGAGTGGGACACAACTTAGCAACCGAACAACAGCCACGACCATTCTAGATGATTTCTTAAAGTCTTGTGGATTTAAACACCATTTGGTGACTCTCAAATTTGTATCTCCTAATCACAATGCTCTATGGATCTCCAAACTTGAAATCTGTTGGCTCTGTATCCCTATTTGTAAGTGAAACAGACATCTCAATCTTTATGCCTAAGAACAACCACCCCTCCCACCAAACCCACTATTATTACCTCAATGCTTTACATTCTAGCCAGGACAACCACTATCCTATCACTTTGGTTTAAAAAAAAAAATAACAAAAAAAACTTTGTCTTTTTCTTACCTATCAGCAGATCCCATTAGCTTTACTTCAAAATATATTCTAAATACTACTCATTCTCAACATTTCCACTGCTACCACCTTCTAATTTATTAGAAGGTGCCAAGCTAATTTATTCCCTGGGTGATCCTCCAGCTTGCACTTTAGAAGTTAACTGTCTACCACCACAAGCAGCCATTTTAGATTATCCACGCCCCAGCTCAAAAACATCAAACAGCTCCCATCTCCTTACCCTGCTTAATAAGAGTCCTGATCATGTCACTAATCTCATTTCCCACAGTCATTAAAACTAGGCTAACTGTGCTCTAAGCACCCTGGCCTCCTTGCTTCCTCCCAAAACACCAAGCACATGAACCCTGAAGACTTTTGGAACTTGCTCTTATCCCTACCTGGACCATTCACCCTCAGGTTCTTCCAAGGCTGGCTGCTCTTTCATTTAGCTCTCTACTCAAATGTCAAGACTGTAGTATTATTACCCAAGAGAGCACACTCCTTATTTCCTTTCCTTATAACTCACGTGAAGTAAAGAATGCCTGCACATACTGGGCACCTAAAAACACGCTTGGTTAAATGAATTTGGATTGTACTTATTCTTCACTACACTTGCTTTGTGAGGTACCTCACCGAGGTAGGCGCACAACAGAGGCAGAAACCAGGTAAGGCCTGCCTTGCCGTTTTTGAGCCCGTTAGTAAGGACTGGCGCAGGATCCCCTTGCAGCTCCGTCAGCCAGAGCTGGACCTTAAGAACGCTCTTTCATTTTCTTGTCCAGTCAGGAAGGGGAACGGGTAAGCAGGAGGAAATGAGGCACAGAGGGGCTGAAGAGGGATTCTCAACTCTGTAGCATTCAGTTAAGAGAGTATCTACTATTATTTACTGCGGCGCTTGTTTTTACTGGGTGGCCTAGGACCTGGGCCTGCGATTCGACACAGAAATCCCAAGCGCAACGGACTAAGCAAAGAAGTCGGCCATTTTCCGAAACTAATCTCCGGGTAACTCCGCCCAGGAGTGTACGCAGGAAACGGGGGCGGAATTTATTGTGGGCCTAGCTCCGGAAACCACACCCTCGCGGGCGTCCCACCTACGAGGATTCACAAAACTCAGAGCGAAATTTAACAGTCGGCAGCGAAAGCGCGCACTCGAAAGCCAATGAGAGCCCAAGGAAGGGAACAGCGCCTGAGGAACACTCTGTATGTCCAAAAATGATTGGCTGAAGTCCTCCTCTCTTCTTTTTGGTATTGGCTGAACTGCTTTTCCCCGCCCACCCAGCCCGCTTTTTGTCTAGGTACTTCTGATTGGCTTCTCCTGGGCGGCGGGTGGGCAGGGTTGGGGATTGTCATCACGGATTGGTGGATTTGAGTACCTGGCGGGTCCTTCCAGAGTAAGGAGTCCGTCCCATCTCTCTGTCCCGTCTCCCGACCCGTACGCTTTTCCCCAACTCTCGCGCACCAATGGTTAAAAAAAAAGGCCGGGACGGTGGGGCGGGGTGTTTGTGCGAGGCTCGAGCCCGCCAGCCAGGCCTCTAGCTCCCAGCGCGCGCCCTCAGCGAGGACCCGCGCGAGCTGCCCGTGACGCTGCCTGCGCTGTTTGAAACTGCAGAACCCGTTACGATCTTGGGGCAACTACCGTTCCAGCTGGTTCCGGAGTCCGGGCATGCCAGAGGGGCGAGTGGCGGTCGCGAGGCGGCTCTGGCCTTTCGCGTCTCTGCAGCGTGGAGACTAGAACCGGCACTTTCGTAGGACGCCGCCTCCAGTCGCGGCGCTGGCGCGGGCGGAGGCTAAAACACGGGGGTCCTGAGACAGAGGAAAACGCGCCAAGTTCCCGTAGGTGGTGGAGTGAGGAAGACCCTAGCGGTTCGGGCGCCCGGCTAGCGGAGCCGCTTCTGGCGCTCCTTGCCGTCCTGGGGCGGGGGCGGGCGCGGGAGGGCGCCGCTCCGGGGATGTAGTTGGTGCCCGCGCCAGGCAGGACCGAGCTGCAGCCCGGGTTCCCGCTCTTAAGAGCGAATGGTCACTTCCCCGCGGGGAGGGCGATAGGGTCAGCTTTTCCGTGGGTCGGGGGCCCCCGCGGGCCCGGGGCAGGGGCTCACCTGTCGCACCCGCACTCAGCGGGGTTGGACTCGCCGGCGTCACCGCCGCGGACCTCGCTCTGGGCCATGACCAGGTAAGGAGGGCCCGTGGAGGAGGGGCCGGTTCCCGTGTGCCGCGGCAAGTTCGGCCGGCGCCCAAGGGGGCCGCAGAGAGGACCCCTGGCTCTTTGGGTTGCCGTGTCCCCGCCCAGCTGCCAGCCTAGCCCTCCAGTCAGCGGGCCGTACCCCTTCCAGCCGCCGCTGGGGACTCGAGCAGGTGCGGGCCGGGCGTAAATAGGCCAACTCCGCGGGCGAGGGGCCGGGCGCTATAGTTTCGCTCCCAGACGCCTGCCGCCCGCCGCTTCTGACGGGCACGGACGGCAACGCCGTCCGTCATCTCCTCAGTTTCATTTCGGCTCTTAGAGTGTGCAGGGTAGGGACAAGAAATGTTTGCGCTCACGTTGTTCTGTGTCGGTGGTTGCTAAATTTTACCGCGCAGTTTAACTTTCAGATTTTCTACAAGTTTTTAGAACGCCACGTGTCTTAAACCTTTGTCGAGGATGTTATCCTAGTTTTATATTTTTCGTGGAAAGTTAGAATTGAGTTGTGCCATATTAGAGGAAAGAACCTGAAACTAATGGGACTTTGTGTTCACGCTGTCATTTGGCCAAGAATATTTAATTTTCGATATATTGTGTTTTCTGCGAAACTTGATTTAGAGAAACATTTTTGACGTAACAGCCTCCCAGTGATAAGGACAGCCAGGAGGAGCAAGAAGTGGTATAGCTTAAGATATGGCACCTGGTAAACAGTTGCATAGTCTAGGTAGGGCTAATGTTTAATCGTTGCTTTGAGGAGCCGTGAGGATTGGTTTATTGATTAGGATTGATAGTTATTTCAGCTGCTCGTTCGTTTTTTGTTGTTGTTTATCTTTAAGTCCGATTACTCTCAGAGAATCCAGTTTCCATCGTTTATTAGAATTGGCTCCTAAGAACAACCTTTGACAAGAATCACAAGTTATCCTTAGGGATCCCTGACACTGTAGTGCAGGCTAGTTTATCATTAGTGATAGCATTTCATACAAATAAATTGAGTTGGAGTGTGGAAATTTGCTTTCTAGGTATTCCTGAGATGTCTCAAAAACAGGGCATGTTTCACTGCTGAGTTTAGTGTTGTGAATTCCCACGTTAGAGGCAGCTGAGTGAAATGCTTAAGGGTGTGAGTTTAGGTCATCCTTTACCTATATTTGAAAGTCATTGCTGAACTTTTGGGCTCTTAACTGATTTTCTGGTAATAGATAATTATTTCTAATATCTTCTTAATGAAAAACAGGACTGAAGTGTAAAATGACTACCACAAATACATCCTTTTTTTAAAAATCCAAGTTTTATTATAAAACAGGGAAGAAAGTTTGCACAAGGGAAGCTTTTTTTCCCTACTTAAACCAGTATTTTAATTCTGTAGTTAGAAAAAGTTTGGAAAATTAGTATATTTTGGTTTCTAGTGCATAAGAATTTGATATACACAAAATACAGCAGTTTTTTACACCATTATCTCAACTTCGAATACAGTTTATTACACAAGCTCTTAGGTGTAAACACGAGGTATAGGCCTTTTCTTGTATGCAGATTATACTTTAAATAGCTTATTTCATATAACTAGAAGAGACTTTAGAAGAACAACTCAAGTCACTTCTAGAACTCCTTTCATTTCCCATTCATCCCTCTTTTCCCCACCTCGTACTGTTGTTCAGTGTTTTCTGGATGAACTAATAGATGATAAAGTTTTTACCCTTTAATGATAATACTTTATCACAGATCTCTTACTAAAGTGGGGTATTTTGTGATACTACCCTTAAATCTAATATCAGGCTAATAAAAGTTCAGTATCATGACTTTTTTGTTGTTGTTTAAGAGTTAAGGACAAATGGCAGCTTGTTCATTTAAGCAGTAAACATTGACTGCCTCTTATTAGTGGGCATTAGATTTTTCCAATACAAAGTTCTAATTAGTACCATTCCTTGGTAAGTTTGTTTTCAGAACTGATGACTTTATTGCCAACAGTTGATAACTGAAAACTAATAACCTTTTCTCTGATTAACAGATATGATTGGTGATTACAAGATCCCTGTATAAGTTAATTCCTGTCAACTGCTTGGGATTTGAGGAGAAAATGCCTGGTGTCATACCTAGTGAAAGTAATGGGCTTTCAAGAGGTAGTCCATCCAAAAAAAACAGACTTTCCTTGAAGTTTTTTCAGAAAAAGGAAACCAAGAGAGCCTTGGATTTCACAGATTCTCAAGAAAATGAAGAAAAGACTTCTGAATATAAAGGGTCTGAAATGTATGTTATTTTTAGCATATTTCTGTACTTGTAAAAATTATATATCAATGAAAAAGCAGGGAACTTGGTTTGATTTCTACAATCATTCTGACCTGATAGTCCACAGAGGGATATAAAAAAACACGTTAGTTAGACAAGTCTAGCAGTGTATAGTAGAAACTGGATAAAACTGCTGGTTCCCCACAGGGATCACGTCACAGTTAATAACTCACTGAAATTGTGTTTGTCCAGTTAGACTAACTTAGAGAAGTATTTATTGACTGAAATTATTTTTCAATTTTAACCTGATTGTAGTGCAACATGTTTTATGTAAGGATAAAGAAATTTGTGGTGGTCTTTTGGTTCGGAAGACCTGACAGTTACCTGAGATGCACTTTGTAGTCATACCTAGTATGTGAATTCTCAAACCTATAAGATACGCTTTTGATGCAATAAGTCCTTCAGTGACTGAAAAGAGATCAAAACAGAATGATATTCTTTGTTTCACCAATAGTGTTCTAGTTGGAGTCTACACTTGCTCTAAATTCAACACAGTCACTCTGCTATATGACTGATGTATATTTGGTCCCCTGTGTAATTTCCTAGTATTGGTATTTACCAATAATCAGTTTAGGAGATTATGTATAAACCTCTTGTTTACCAGCTTCATGTGTATAAATACCTTAAGGTATTAAGAATAATAACAACTATAAAATAAATAAAAATGCTGTGAGGACTATTTGTTAAAATGAGGTTAAAGAATTATAAACTTGAACAATTAATTTTTAAGTGAAGGACTGCTGTGTAAGTATCTTCATAGACTTGGTTTACTCTTAATCTTTTATTAACAGAATCTGACTTACTACAGCCTCTCCCAAATATTGTCATACTCCCAGGATTCTGTTCAGAATTAAACTACTTGATAAAAATGTCATGTTGGCTGAACAAATCATAGTACCAGTTTTGCAGTTTTCTACTTTGTGAAATGGGATTAACAGTCCTTTAGTGGAATTGTTTGAAGCTTGTTTGGCTCTAATAATATTATTAAAGTGCTTGTAATACTTTTATTCTGGACGTACAGCAGTTTTTACACCTGTAAAGATTAATTCTGTTAAAGTGCCATCTAAATCTATGTACTTATCTACAACTTTTGGGGAAAGACTAAGTCTAGGGAAGTAGTATTCCCACTTTAAGATTTTACTTCGTTATCCGTTTCTTTTTTCTGTACTTAATAGTGATCAAGTTGTTCCTGCGGCACAGTCCTCGCCTATAAACTGTGAGAAGAGAGAAAATTTGCTACCATTTGTGGGACTGAATAATCTTGGCAATACTTGTTATCTTAATAGTATACTTCAGGTAAGTTGACAGTTGTGCTATATCATAAAATTTTAGTATGCAAAGAATAATGTAACTGTTTTCTGAGAATCTAGGTTATTGGAGGATTTCAGTTGTCCATACTGTCTTTGCCTTTGATTGTAAATAAAACATAATGGGGTAAAATAATCATGATTCTAAATTCACGTTATAAATTTCCTTTGAGGTAACAGAAAATGATACATTAACATTGGGATAGCAAAGTTAAGTAGATGTTAGTTAAATTGAAGATACTAAACCTTTAGTTTTCTGTCCAGTTGATTCTATATGATATGAGGAGAAGGGGACAAGGGGATGACAGAGGATGAGATGTTGGATGGCATCACTGACTCAGTGGAGGTAGTTTGAATAAGCTCCAGGAATTGGTGATGGACAGGGAAGCCTGGGGTGCTGCAATCCATGGGGTCGCTAAGAGTCGGACACGATTGAGCGACTGAACTGAACTGATACAGTTTTGCTCCTTGAAACTACATATTTCATGTTGTACACTTCAGGCTCAGTGCTTTGCTACAGAGGAAAGATAGCAGGCTACTATGATGAAAGAGAACAATTTTTGACACATATTAATCTCAAAATTTTAAGTAATACTTATTTGAAAACATGCTCTTCAAAAAACATGATAGCATTTTAATGAATTTTTAGGTATATCGTTTTTGTAAATACTCAAAACAGTCTCATTTTATAGGTTTTATATTTTTGTCCTGGTTTTAAATCTGGAGTGAAGCACTTATTTAATATCATTTCAAGGAAGAAAGAAGCCCTAAAAGATGAAGCCAATCAAAAAGATAAGGTAAAAAATTAAATAAAATTCACTTGCTTAGAAATGAAAAAGTAATAAATACAGAGGATTTGGGAGAATAACCAAGATTATTTCTCTTAAATTTACATGTGAAAATTAAATTTCTTATTGGCAATTATTTTTCATTCTTGTGGAGTAGGCAGTTTGCTTAATTGTATCCCCTTTTATATTTTTCTCCAGTCCTCTTGATTTACTGTTTATCAGTAAACACTTTTACACATACCACCATGACAATATATTGTGCCCTTTTACCCTATTGTATTTTCAAATTGACTCATTTTTACTATTTATGTAAATTTGAAGAAACCTTTGACTTAACATAATTAAGAAACCATTATCACCCACATAATAGAAAGTAAGCAAAAATATGCTTAAATTTTTTTTGAAGTTTATTCTGTATATTTCTGCAAAATTAGTCTTATGAAATTAGAGTTAGAAAAACTAGTATTGTCTAGTGAGAAAATGGGGTAAGTTAATTTGTTCATAAATAAAAATATTTGTGTGTTTCTTGACAGGGAAATTGCAAAGAAGATGCTTTGGCAAGTTATGAACTAATATGCAGCTTACAGTCCTTGATCATTTCAGTTGAACAGCTTCAGGCTAGTTTTCTATTAAATCCAGAGAAATACACTGATGAACTTGCTACTCAGCCAAGGCGACTACTTAACACACTCAGGTATAGCCTATTATATGATTTTAGGATTCCGATTTAGCTATTTACTACTCTCTTTGGAGGAGAGTGATATGTGAACAATGGGGGGAATAAATGGCAAGGAAAACAGAAACGACAGGTCTACAGTCCTGATATCCCAGAGGCTCAAAAGACTGGAAATTTTTCCTAAGATTGGTACTAAATTCATTAAATCTGAATTTGTATGAGTTTATATTCATATTTACCTGTAATGTGAATATTCATACATTTCTGTAGAAGTAGTAATGTGTATAATTGGGAATACTGTCCCTATTTTGTCAGTGATACGTATTTTACTTATGTGCCAGGTTTTTTTAATCTGAAAATTTCTGAATTACCAAATACACTTGGTCCCAAGGATTTCAGATAGAAATCCTTTGGTCTGTATCCAAAATATGTTATACACAAGAACAACAAATTCCAAGCCTTCTATTTTTGTTGTGTGTACTCAGAAGAAAACTATTAACTGAATTAGATTTCTTTGTAGTATTGTCTTAAAAAAATGAAACTTTATCCTATATATAAAAAGGCTTTATCCAAAATATTACGGGGTTTTAAGTCTTTTAAAAATTCTTTCATCGTTTAGGAATAGACCTAGATGTAACTTACTGCCACACATTTGTTAAGAGGCAGTGTAGCATGGTGGCCAGGGCTAGGTTGAAGCCTGACTTTTGCATCTCTGTGACTGACCTGGACAAGTTATCTGTAAATAGTGGGGATATAATAGTTACCTCATAGGATTATTGTGAGGATTACACATATAACATAAAAAGCATTTAGAAGGAATTCCCTGGTGGTCCAGTGGTTAAGACTCCATGCTTTCATTCCCAAGGACCTGAGTTTGACCCCTGGTCAAGGAATGAAGATCCCACAAGCAGTAGCTTGCCCATGCACCACCTCCTCCAAAATGAAAAGTTTGAGACTTTCCCCTGCAGTCCAGTGGTTAAGACTCTGCACATCCACTGCTGGGGCACAGATTTGATCACTAGTCAGGGAATTAGATCCCACAAGCTGTGCTGCAAGGCCATAATAACTTACCTATCCATATATAACACATTTTGAATAAAATGTGCATAGTAAACATTGTGTACATATTAGCTATTATTAATAGTATTTAGGAGATCAAAGTATTTGTGATGATGAAAATGAGATTAAATCTGTTTTTCAGTTAAAAGTTTACCTAAACGTTAACCTAAAAGTTTCAGATTAGTAGCTGAATAAATATTTCTGGACTTTAATAGTTCTGTAATGGCAAGGTGGTTTTTTGTTTTGGTATTATATCTTCAAAACTAGAATAGATGAAATGAAAATTTTTGTTTATAGGGAACTCAACCCTATGTATGAAGGATATCTACAGCATGATGCACAGGAAGTATTACAGTGTATTTTGGGAAACATTCAAGAAACATGCCAACTCCTAAAAAAAGAAGAAGTAAAAAATGTGGAAGACTTATCTGCTAAGATAGAAGAAGAATATCAGAAAGAGGAAATGAGTGATAATAACAGCATGGAGATGGACAGTATGAGGCATTCTGAAGACTACAGAGAAAAACTCCCAAAAGGAAATGGGAAAAGAAAAAGTGATGCTGAATTTGGTAACATGAAAAAAAAAGTTAAAATCTCTAAGGAACACCAGTCTTTGGAAGAAAACCAGAGACAAACCAGATCAAAAAGAAAAGCTGCAGGTGATACATTAGCGATTCCTCCTAAAATAACCCCCAAGCACATTTCTGAAAATGAGAATGCAAGATCCTCCCAAAGGAAATCAAAAGTTAAAATAAATTGGTTAAAGTCTGCAGCTAAGCAACCCAGCATTCTTTCCAAGTTCTGTAGTATGGGTAAAATAGCAACAAACCAAGGATCCAAAGGACACTGTAAAGAAAATGAATATGATCTTGAAGAGGACTTGGGGAAGTATGAAAATGATAATACAACTAATGATTGTGAACTTGAGTCTCCAGGGAATAATGATATGCCCATTAATGTTAATGAAGTTAAGCCCATAAACAAAGGTCAGTATAATTTATTCTTGAACATTGATAGGAAGATTAACAGCTGCAGAATTGGAATTTTTTTAGATGCATATACATCTGGTTTAAGTTTAACACAATGTGAACTAGTTTTTCAAGCACTGCACTTATATGTATTTTGTGTGTATCTTAATAGTAATTTGTTTATAAATTAGGGGAGTTTAATACATCTTAATGACAAGAGAATATTTTATCCCTTTATATATGCAGTATTTGACATAAACTCATGAAAGAAATTGCATCTACTAGGTAGTTGTATCATAATTGAACTGGATTTCTACTTAGGTTCACACAGATCTCAGGGAGAATTTGTAGAACTGACATGCTTTGGGATATCTTTGGGAAGGGAGTTTTAAGACACAATTGTGTTGAAACTCTTCATTGAGGTAACAGTAATTGATATATTCAAAATTTTCTTTACAGTGAGTTTATATTACATGATTGTCACCTCTTAATGCTAATAAGCAAGTTGAAATGTGAAAATCAGCCTTTTATTCATGTCTACTTTAAATGGAATAATGGTTATTTGGACTGTACTGAAAAACTCATCTGTATAGATTTGTGTGTTGTTTTTTTTGTTTTAGGTGCAGAGCAAATTGGATTTGAGCTAGTTGAAAAATTATTTCAAGGTCAGCTGGTATTACGGACTCGTTGCTTAGAATGTGAAAGTTTAACAGAAAGAAGAGAAGATTTTCAAGACATCAGTGTACCAGTGCAAGAAGATGAGCTTTCCAAAGTAGAGGAGAGTTCTGAAAGTAAGCAAAATCTGAGTCTTGCACGGATCATGGGATAATTTCAGTTTTCCTCAACAAAACAGTCTAATAAGCTTATATAATTATTGAGGGAAAAAACCGTCTTTAGTGTAATAAAATTGTTCTCTTGTATAGCTTCATTTGTTAATAGTTAACTATATTTGAAAATTGTGGCATCTTTATTTTGATGTATAGAGTATGTTATAATGAGAAAATGAAATGCTTTAATAAGTTGATTTTTGGCTACCTGAATATCTGCGCTGTTGAGGATATTTTTGCTGACAACATATTTGAACCTAATGTTCTGTTGTGTAAACCACAAAAAGAAGAGTAATGTCATGGGAAATGATCGAGACTGGTTTACCTGTTTAGATATTGTAAATCTACTTAAATATAAACTAAAATCTGTGTCGCATGGAGTCAGAGTAGGCTTATTTTGATTTTGCTGTCTCTTTTTCCTCAATATTTTTTGACCAGATATGAAATATTTAGAGGTATGTGCTCTGTTGAAGAAAGTTACTAGTTTCTGAAACTAAAAATAAGTCTCTTTAGTTATTATTTAGGAAGGATTAGTCAATTAAAAGTGCATGCTGATTTTGAATATAAAAAGTTGTAGCTTAGCTTTTGAGAGATTTTTCACTTGTGAGTGACAGGATTCTCTTGTGTAGTTTCTCCAGAGCCAAAAACAGAAATGAAGACCCTGAGATGGGCAATTTCACAATTTGCTTCAGTAGAAAGGATTGTAGGAGAAGATAAATATTTCTGTGAAAACTGCCATCATTACACTGAAGCGGAACGAAGTCTTTTGTTTGACAAAATGCCTGAAGTTATAACTATTCATTTGAAGTGCTTTGCTGCTAGTGGCTTGGAGTGAGTATTCTGAAGTTTTATTCAAAATACTATGATATTTATTATAAAGGGGAAAAAAGATCATTTTAACCCTTGCTAATATTTCTTAAGACTATCAAAATCATTTTATTTAATAAATAACATAAAGTATGTCTTACACACGTGTGTGTGTGTGCTAAGTTGCTTTAGTCATGTTCAACTCTTTGCAACCCCATGGACTGCAGCCTGCCAGGCTCCTCTGTTCATGGGATTTTCCAGGCAAGAATACTGTAGTGGGTTGCCATGCCTTCCTCCAAGGGATCTTCCCAAACCAGGGATCAAACCCACATCTCCTACATTGGCAGGCAGGTTCTTTACTAGTATTGCCACCTTGGGAAACCTCTTACATGGATTTTATAAGTACATAGAGGTTGTATTAATAATTACTAGTAGGTAATGAGTTAACTAATACATAACCAATCAGAGGGCTGCTGCTCAGACACAAGTCTGATGACAAAAAACAAACATGATTGGAATATAGACCCCACTCAGCTTCACCAGTCAGGGACTGTCCTTAAGACTTCTTTCATTTCTTCCTGCTGTCAGCATCCAGCTGCATATGATTTGTTCATTTTCATTCCTTATTAGATTATTGTAATGGATTGGATTAAAGCAAGGCACAAATTTTGTTTATACATCAGCATTTTTTTTTGAGGGGAGAGAAACAAGCAAAATTAGTTTTAAGGTAAGTAAGCCAGGAAATAAAACAAGTATGAACAATTTGAGAGATTTTTCTATAGTTGAACATTTAAGTATTTGAAAGATTTAAAAATATCAAAATTCTGGTTATTTTTAGATAGACTGCCTTTTCTGACATGTAGATATAATGTCATTGTAGCTTTTATTCCTTTCTATATTAATGAATTGTTTGAAATTACCATGAGAGCTTCCCAGTAGCTCTCCACACGTTTCATTTTGCCAGAAGATGACATAGTCCTTTCTTTCAGTGGACTTTTTCTTTGCTACAGTATAGCTTTTTCTTGTCCCCAAATCTTGGTTGTAGAGACAGACTTCACACTACAATGATTTATTAGATTTACAGGAAAAGAGATTTGAAGATCAGTGGTTTTTTAAAATGTTATTTTCTTACTGTACAAAATTAGGAAAATAAACAAAAGGGGGAAATGCCATATATCCTACACAGAAGCACCTATTAGTACTGTAGGTATTTCAGTATTCTTTGTGTAAATGTCATACAGAATTTGGGTGGTGGTTTGTTTTTATTCATATGAGCAATAAATATTAAGGTTTGTTCAGCCTTTTTACTTGGTTTCACATTGGGTGTAAAACTGAATATATAAAGTGGAATCCCAGAAAACCATTTTTTTTTTTTCCTTTCAAAGGTTTGACTGTTATGGTGGTGGACTTTCGAAGATCAACACTCCTTTACTGACACCTCTTAAATTGTCACTAGAAGAATGGAGCACAAAGCCAACCAACGACAGCTATGGACTATTTGCAGTTGTGATGCATAGTGGCATTACAATTAGTAGTGGGCACTATACTGCTTCTGTTAAAGTCACTGACCTTAACAGTTTAGAACTAGATAAGGAAAATTTTGTGATCGACCAAATGTGTGAAATAGGTAAGCCAGAACCATTGAATGAGGAGGAAGTAAGGGGTGTGGTTGAAAATTATGACAATGAAGAAGTGTCTATTAGGGTCAGTGGAAATAACCAGCCAAGTAAAGTTTTGAACAAAAAAAATGTAGAAGCTATTGGACTTCTTGGAGGACAAAAGAGCAAGGCAGATTACGAGTTATACAACAAAGTGTCTAATCCTGATAAAGTTGCCAGTACAGTACTTCCTGAAAATATAAATTCTGAGACTAACAATACTAATGGGACCCATGAATCTGATAGTAACAAGGAATCCAGTGACCAAACAGGCATTAACATTAGTGGTTTTGAGAACAAAATATCGTATGTAGTGCAAAGCTTAAAGGAGTTTGAGGGGAAGTGGTTGCTTTTTGATGATTCTGAAGTGAAGGTTACTGAAGAGAAGGACTTTTTGAATTCTCTTTCCCCTTCTACATCTCCTACATCTACTCCTTACTTGCTATTTTATAAGAAATTATAGAGTGATTGTATTTTCCTTGTGTATATATTAAAGAGACATGGATAAACTGGTAAATTGATTACATCAAACTAGCTTATCTTTTGAAGCTATTGGATATTATTGGTCTCTAGGTTTTTATATAAATAGTGAAATTTGAATTATTGAAAACCATGTTAATTTTTAGAATTCATTTTCCTTAGTAGAGACTAGTGCTACGTTAGCTTCTGGGAACAAACTTGTATAGGTTCTTAACTGAATTATTCAAAATTGAAGCATTTAAACACTTTTGAATTTACATCTATTTTTTGTGTTTGCTTTTTAAAATAAAGTGCTTGTATTTGTATCTCCATATTTTGGAGTAATTATCTACACAATGTTTATAGGTCTTGTGGTTTTTCAGCTAAGAAGCAGAATCTCATTTCAGTACATATAGTTTTGTAAATCATAAACCAAACCTTAGATGGGCTATATTACAGGCACAAACCCTGGAATATGTATGTATTCACAGCAGCGTGCATTTTGTGCCTTGAATCACTTTGAAAAATATCTCAGAAAACCTGTAGAGTCAGTCCTCTTCTATCTTCACCAGAATTTTATGTGTATTTATGAAAATGATTCTGTATACTAGTAAATCTTTCAGGGTATGGGCTAATTTGTATCCCTTCAGTCATACTCTGCATGATCTGTATATAGTACATCAAACTTAGAGGTGTGACCTTAAATTTAACTTTTTTAAAAACCAGGAGGTCAATAAAATGTAAACTGCTTAACAACGATGTATACAAATGCTTGAAGAATTTTTTACTTGCAAATTTTTACCATATATATAGCTGGATTCTCTTTAAAAAAAGAATGTGTGTGTGTATATATACACACACAAACATACTATAAACATACATACATAGAAGAAAATAAACATGCATAATTACCTTTAATAATACTCAATACTTTCTGACAGTTGGAGGTGAAGAAATTTTCAAATAGAAATTGTGCTTATTGGTCCATCTTAACTGTCATACCTAGTTTTCCTTTAAAGTAGATGTATAACTTTAAGGAATCCAAAACTGGAGAACTTAAGGCTTTAGGCACAGAAAAACTGGGTTAAATTTTCACTTTAACATTAAATTGGTAAATAATCAATTATGACTTGTTAAAGGACATTCCTGATATTGAGAATATTAAAAATCCAAAGAATATATAATTCTTGGAATAACACTGCTATACCCCACTTCAACAAATAAGAGTACCAGTCAACTAATAATCTATACAGTTAATGTCTTGCAAATTCTTTTACAAGATGGTGTGATATAAAAAGTCACAGTTCACACCTCTTTATACATTCAGAATCAATGGGACCTTTTAAAAATAAGAGCTCGGAACACCACCCATAAACAGTTGAGGGAGTAGGAGTCACTAATAGAACTCTTAACACATCCTTAACATTACTTTATGAGCTCTGATGGAGTAGTTCTAGGACAGAACTTGGGCTTCTGTAACACTCAAGAGACAGCTATGGTTAAGAACTAGTATAGCTTGCTGACACAAAAATTTTCTCTCTTAAGAAAACTGAAGAACACAGTAGGCTAAATTCAGAAGTGTTCAGTTATACCAATGTTTTGAGAGGAAGCCTCTTCTGATCATTAAGTCATAGAAATCTTAAAGTTCTTGATAGTCTCTGAGATGGGTGGCAATCCAAATTCTCACATATGTGTGACTTTATGAGAAATGACCTAGGAATTAATATTTTCTTTCCTCCACCCTTAAGAGGAGACTGTAGATAAGTTACCGTTTTTTGCTTGCTTTAAAGAGTTTCTGTCCTTGACTCTGTCTTTCCTTATTGTCCATCTGGATCCTCTGTTTTCAAATATTTATTTTTGAGGTTATGCTTTTCTGACTCCCTAGTTGACCCATTTTGGTTCACCTGTAACTCACCTGAAAAACCTTTGAGACTGTCTTTGAACTGATGTAGATAAGAGGAATTTGAGATAATATTGCCTGTTAAAAAGAGGCTGAAGCAGGCGATACTAGTCATCATATCTATGCTCTTAGAAGAATGAAAGTACCGTGTTTGATCACTTCTTCAGTGATCAGTAGATCAAAGGGACAGATTACAAGTGATCCTTCCTAAAACTGCACAAAGAAAAAATGTTCAGACATTTTCAGAAATCCTTAATATACTCTTCCTTGGAAAAGCTTGCCAAATATATGTTGGAAAAAAACCTGAATTAGTTTTTCATATCATAAAAGTTACAATTTTAAATTAATTACCTCTCAACTTTAATTGACAGGTAGTTTTACCTTTTATACATGTACTTTGTAAAATCTATACAAGTATCAAAAAATATAACTTCTTATCCACCTGATAGATGAAAATCAAACACTCTTATTTTTATGGTGATGTAAATAAGATAAGTTTAAAGCAGATTTCTAATTTATCAGTTTAGATCACTAAAAACCGATGAAATGATTGATGTAATTTGAAACAAGAAGCGTTCATTTTAGTTGCATAAGAGTAAAAACTGATGAAATGACTGGCTTATTTAATTTGAAACAGGAGTTGTTCATTTTAGTTGCTAAGAGTCAGCTCATACTAGCATTAACTATAAGGTTGAGTCAGAGATCAAACTGGGTATTAACTATCCTAGGGTATAATCATTTATAGAGAGAAGTTACCAGGTAGTTACTTCTGCAGTTCTAAATACCATTTTGGGGTGTCTGGAAAATACCTTAGAAACCAATCTGAAGACTTAAGCCAATTATCAACTTATTTCCACCTATTTATTTAATTTGGAGCTATTATGTGGGCCCATAAAGTGACTGTCAATTATGATTTTCATTTTGCTATTTTTGCAACTATTTCTTGAATCACCTAACTCATTCTCTGCTTTTATCAATAAAAAAATTTTTTAAGTCTTTTAATTAGTGTAAACGTTCACATATTTAATAGTACCTTTAAAATAAGCATTACTACATTTAAAATGGTTCCAAACAAATCTATAAATGGTAATATAAATTAAAAAATACAAACTTAAAGTAAATAAATTTAACGTTAGCTATGGTATAAATAATGGTAAATGTAAGTGTACCTTTGAGTCATTAAAATGTCTTTTTAAAAAAGGACAGCATATTATCAGAACATTAGAAACCACAGCCATGATTCTCAAACTTCACCAATTGCCATTTGATGTTATTTTGGCCACTGCATTCTTCCATGAGTAAATTAATGCTATAATTTCCAGAATTAAGTCCCAAGTCTTTTTCAATAGCTCTTAAATTCTTTTCACACTCAGTGTTGAATACATGGCTTTTTTCAAATGAATAAAACAAGTGCATTTAAATTAGAGATCCATTTTGCGCAGACTCATTCGACTGAAGGAATCTCTGGAGAGAAAATGAAAGAATATAACTATGAGTAAACAATTTTTATATAATCCTCTAAAATGTTTACATGCTTTCTGCCAGTTATCTCAAAGTTTTGCCACCAAAAGCTTATTAACTTTTAAAACTTGTGCAAGCAGAGCTCTTCACTTTCAAGTTACATGCTCATCCTACACACTATTGCTCTATATATTCTAACTTGTAGACTTCTCTATAGGTTTCAAGTAACACTGTCCAGGTCCATTGATCATTTATTCATTTGTCCAATAAATGTATTAGATATTTGATTAAACAGGTACTAAGGGGTAATGGGAGAGATTTCAGGAGATTTACTTGAGGTTAAAAGGCAAAACACAGGTATTTTATTTAAAATAGTAAACTCTAAGCCTTAAATCAGTGGCTCTCAAGTTTTGGGCATTTAGGTCCTTTATACACTCTTAAAATTGAGGACCCCAAAGGAAGCTTTTGTTTATGTGGCTTATATATTGATATTTACAAAAATAGAAATTAAGACTATTTAAAATCATTTCATAAACCATTATACATTACTGTAGATGGGATTTTTTGTTAAAATTTGCAATAATTTTAGAAGAGTAAATTTAGAAAATTATTTTTAAAATAATTTTTAAATATTTTAAAATAAGTAAATTTAGAAGGTAATTTTGCTTATCTTTCCTGACATAAATGTTAATGTCTTAAGATTTACAATCTCTAGGAAAGGAGAGGACAGATACAAAGAGATTGTATTCAGCTTTGAATCTCAAAACTTGGTTTTGTTTTTTTGGAAAATAGCAGTCTTGGAAGATAGTTTGTCAAGAAAAAGTGTTTTCTAAGCTCAAAAAAACTGCCTGCAAATACTAAAAACCAAAGTTTGGAGGAATAACCATCATAGTAGAAGGCATACTGGTGTGAGGGAAGCTTCCTTTAGACAGAAACAGTAAGTCTGTCCACTGAAAGGAGTTGGAGAAATTTGATGGAAGTGAGACTAGCATTAGGAGACCTGACTATTTCAGGGACCAGCACTCTATCCCAGGACCTTTGACCAATGAACATAAGACTGGTGAAGGTATGTAGAGGCAAGAAGTAGTCAGACATTCCGAAAAGACTAAAAGGGAAGCCAAAAGTGGAGGGGACTAGTGTTGCTTCCCAACAAGAGTTTCAAGAGGAAACCACCTAGGGTGTCTTGCATAGTAAAATATATTTTGCCAGAGAAGGGCTCTAAAACAGGCCTTTTGGTCTCCTGCTCCTGTACATGGTCTGTCTACATGTTCCCTGCAGGGAATGTGACATATAGCGTGCACTTGGTATGTATTTTCAGAGGTCTAGCAGTACACAAATATTCTGTCACTGGAGAACAGCGAATATTACCAGATAATCAAATAGCCAGCTTAATTTTCTTATGTATCAATAGCATAATTCTGTTTATATAAGCAACTTCAAATGCCTTCCAAATATTTGATCAAGTATAATTTAATAGCTTCACTGTTATAATTTTTTAAAAAGGGGGTGGTAAAATATTGGTGCCACAATAATTCAAGAGATGTATGTACATTTTGATTTAAAAATGCAAAGAATGCACTTTACTTTTAGCAGTTATCATGCCCTGTCCAGAATTCAGGGGTTAAAAGTAAAAATGTTAAGTG